AGCTATTCTCATCCATGCCCGCTATGAACACGTTTGACTTGTGAATAAGTGTGCAATGTTCTGTAATTTGCTTCACTAACTCATGGCACTAATCGTGTGTTTCAGGCGAGGTGTTTCTCTCAGGATTAGAAACTAGTTTTCCCCTCCGGGATAACTCGATAATATAACGTTAGCAATTAGCATGCTAGCTGGACCTGTGTGGCTACACTGAGGTAAACAATAGATTGTAGTTGCTCTAATTTCAAGTAATTTGCAACATTCATTCTACATGTTAATGGTAAAAGCTTAAACAGTTGATTACCTGCATGCCACAAAGACTGATGTTCTAATATTTTTTGCACATTTAAGTAGAAATGTAATTGAAATTCTATTTACTGGCTTAACATTGTTCCTTCTCATAGTATTATCCTAAATAGTTTGACCTTGTTTCCTCAGAAGGCTTCTCAGACTACATGGAGGATCCCTCAGAGAAACACAGTTTCCACGTTCAGTTCCCCCCCGCTGAGAGTAGGCAGCCTGCGCCCGGTCAGCGGACACCATCAGGACCACTATCTGATCACAGAGGATCCCATCCTGACCGCTGCTGCCATACTGCAGCAAACAGGAGGGAACGGAGGTGAAAACACACTTTATACATTTAGATATGTGGAGCACAAAGAAAAGTGTTGAGTTTAACTATAAAAATATTAGTTTCAACTAACCTAATACCGTTATATGAACTTTGCTGTGTTTTCAGCGTAGCTTTGTAAAGGTAACATTTAGCAGCTAAACTGTGGATAACAAGTAAACCACATTGGTTTGTTATTCAATATGGCCACCAAAAGCTTTTTGAATCGTTACATGTCACTTGTTAGACGCTTTTATCCAAAGCTTACCTACTCAATACTGTGGGCAATCCCCACAGGAGCACTTTGGGGTGAAGTGTCTCGGGGACACAACGACATGCTACACCCTACCCCTACACACTACCCCTCCGTTTGCGCGTTCGCGCGGAGGGTCCGCCACATTAAGTGCTGTTCCAAACCAACGAGTGTGGAGAGGTGTGGAGGGGGAGTGGGCTATCAAGCCCTCAAACAGCGAGTCTGCATCGGTGCTGACTTGAGACCGGTCTCTACCTGACCGGAGTCACGCTGTGTGTGTCCGTCAGGAAACACGCTGTTAAAAAGTAGTTCCAGCAAACATCCACTGATAAATTGCGATGTTAACAACCTCATGATAACCTCATATTTTTTTAACTTAGGATCATACCTGTGTTTAGTCTAGAAAAAGGTAAATGTGTGCATTTTATTATAAAGTTGTGTATATTTACAGACTGTTGCAAAAACTAAGAAGCTTATAAACATCAGGTTTAAAACTAAAAGAGCTTTACAAAAAAGTAACACAATGAAAGATGTTTGGAGTTTTATTTGAGTTATTAATTTACATTTTTTGTCTAAGAGAAGCTGATTTGAAACCGTTGTTACATACAGTTACGGCATTTCCTGTTTCTGCCGGAGAGAGGGGAGTTTGTCCCAAAGCTTGCCGCTGTATTTACTCCCTCCATCTGACAGGAGGGAGCCTCGTTGAGCTGCGAGTGTGGCTACAGACGGAGTTCACTCCGTCACGGAGGGGTAGGGTCGAGGGAGTGGTTTGGGATTGGGCCTCAGAGGTGGAGATCGCCCACAGTGATGACTCTGACGTGGGGGGCTCTCTGTTATTGGGCTGCTCCCCTTCTGGTATTTGGACAATGTTGTGTCGTTGTTGCGATTAAACTGATCTTGTATCTTGCATATTTCACCTTAGGAAAGTGGGCACGCGATGACAGCTTCCTTGACACCATGGACTGCCGTGCCATGGTCAGCAAGGAGAATGAGGACCTGCGTGCCAAGGAGATGCACGACGAACGGCTGCTGCATTCACACAAGGCCCAGGAATCGGACGACCAGCTGCTCATGTTGATGCAGCGCCATGCTGACTCGGCGGCGCCAGGTGGAGGTGTCGGCGCGCCAGGTGGAGCAACAAAATACCTTTCAGGCTGGGCTTCTGGCAGTGCTAAGCGAGCTGATTAAATCCAACAGGCCTTCAATACAAAAATTAAGAAAAACTTGTCGTCGTTGATAAACTGTACAATGACTTGTTGGGAGGCGTGTGGTGCAGTGGTCTGGTGCGTTGGTGTTCGGATCAGGGGAGCACAGGTTCAAACCCCACTGCAGTCAGGATGTCGTTGTGTCCCTGTTATTATATTGTTTTGATACTACTGACACTTATTGATCTGCTGCTGATAAATAAAAGAGAACCTACATTGCGATTAAACAGAAAATGTATCTTGCTTATTTCTCCTGACACTTTATGGTGACCTGTGTAGCATCCTATACATCACATGTAAGTGATTATTCTGATACCATCATGACACCATGAAACTGGCGAAGCTTTATTTATTGTGTCCCACCCCATATATGTGTCTTTGAAAAAGATCATTCAATTGTATTTCAAAATGGCGTCCATCAACACAAACACTATTTATAGAAAGATAAATGGTTAAGTTTGTAATTAACAGTGTTGTGAGTTCAATATTTTAATTAATTATAGTAAGGGAACATAGGAGGATATATAATAAAGGTGTTAACTGCTGAGCCTATTTACTGTGCAATACTACAGACATGTTAGTGGTATTATTTCTTATCTAACTCTTTCCTATGGTCAGACAAATCAGAAGTCATTTAAACAATTTCAGATTGTTCTTTTTGTTTCTCAATTGATTTTCCAGAATATGCACCACCTAGGCACAGACTTTATATCACAAATAAATGAATGACATGTACTACAGTAATTGATTATATTGATATTGCCTACTCAGATATAAATGTGTATAAAATGAAATCAATTCAAAGTTTCTTGCTGCTTTTAATGCAATTCATGGCTGCAGGGCAAACGTCCAAAATCCTTATTCTACAATCATTTAATCAAGACACTTGTGTATATTGTACTTTAATTTGTAATAAACAAAAAAATATGAATGGTTGTCATCAAGCTGGGTCGCCGGTAAGGCAGTCCATTCCTCCCTGTACTCATCACCACGACGCTCACACAGGTTATGCAATACGCAACATGCTGCCACCTGGATTTTGATATTGTCCATGTTGCAGTCGTTTCGCTTCATCAAGCACCGCATATCTGGAACACATACAAAGACACAAATTAGCCCTACATAACTCCATAAATCCTACATTAGATAGTATTAATGTGATTTACTGAACGTACCATTGCTGTTCTTTGGGCGTGATAACGGTCATCATCCTCAGCTGACGAAACATGTCCATAGCGTGTGCTTGTCGCCGTCCAGTCCTTTTGTTAAGGCTTCTTAACCGCGATCTGTATTTGTGGCTGAGTTATTGGCTTAAATAACTCAGCACCAAAACCACAACTTCAGTCAACTCCATAGCGTGTCTGACTGAGGTCGGAAGGTAAACAGAAGCATACAGCGGAAGCGGAAGTTTTTTTTCTTCTTCTCTCGGTTTTTTGGCGGATTGCAACTTTAAGGTGCATACCGCCACCTACTGTACTCGCCGTGAATTGTTTGCGGCCTGCCAGGAAAAGCTAAGCAGAAGAAGAAGAAGTGACGTCAGCGGCTCATTTGCCTAATCCACCCCCAGGAACTCATTTTGGTGTGAACGCGATCTGCTTTAGTTCGTCAGAACTAAAAGAACTCTCATGAACTAAAGTTCTCAGGAACTACTGTGGGAAAAGTACTTGGTGTGAACGCGCCTATAGAGAGAGGTTCTTCAGAATTGACGTGGCAACTCTACCGTGGAGTCAGAACCTCTGACTCTTGGATTTGTGATGTGAATCCTCCGGCCGAATACTCTGAATAAACCCATCAGTGTTTGACATCAAAGCTCCAACTCTCACCGTGTCTCCTTCCTGAGTCGGTGACTCCATGCATTACTACACAGAAGTTTCCTCCACAGTGAGAACATCTTTTAAATATAATAGGTTAGCAATTGAGGATGTGTAGACATTCTTGGTATATTTCCATGTTTTCTTTCCATTGTCTTTGGATGTACTGCTGTTCTTGTTTATCCTCACAACCCTTTAATCTACATTTAAAGTATTGGAGCAATATAGTAAATAAGTTTTTCTATTTTATAAGTGTCCTAATTACATCATATGAGTTGTATTTAGTCTACTGTTATGTAAACGCATAAAGGTGCGCCACATTTGCACTTCAATGCCATGCGATCTACCCACACTACCTTTGCGATCGACGTATTGGGCACCCCCGATCTACATGATCAATATACAGGGCTTACTTTGTAGACATTAGACAAGTCTTAACGAGGCCCACCTGTTGCAAGCTAATTGAACACAGGTGCAAGCATTAGCTGAGGCTGCACCTGCCTTGTTGATTGGCTGCCTGGTGGTAATATGTGCCAGTATTAAAAGCCCTTTCTCATGCTTCATTGCCAAGTGCTCTCCACCCGCAGTGAGTTTGATTTTACAGAATGGGTATCCTATGAGCACCTATCACAGCTGTATTGGTTGTCACAGCACCTGCTGATGCTCAAATAGTTGCGGCAAAGAAAGTTATCTCATCTCTTCACATTACCAGCAGTCATGTGCAAGAGAAAAAGGCGCTGGTGTTTACCTGGCTGCAGCTGTTATTCTGACGTGTTATTTTGCGCAAACTATAGATTGTTATCGTCTGAAGAAAAGAGAAAGACGAGAAGGGAGAAAAGATGCCGAAACAAAAAATGGGTTCCAAGAGGGGACAATTGTTTTCGGGAGAGCTTTTGAAAAAGGGTCAGGACTTGATTCTCAAGTCACAGGCGGGACCAAGAAGTCATCCTCAAACGCTTATGTGGAGGATGAAGGTGCTTATCAAGCAGACTCTGCAGGTAAAAATATTTTGATTACTTATTGAAGGGTTTTGTTATTTTGCTTGAATTGTTTGCTTCTCTTTAAAGTACAAACTATTGAAAAAAAAAAAATCTATATATATTTTATATTCGCCTTCAGGCTGGATGAGCCCAACACAAGACGCCAGTCCCAAAGACTCTTCATGGATGAACATGTCGCCCTCACTGCAGTGTGGTACGGGCCAGTTGAAGTTCAGAGTGGTGGGATCAGGAATTTCACAATTTGCGGTAGAACAAGGTAAATTAATAGCCATAATATCCTAAATGTAGACTTGATTTTATCTCTACCAATGATATAAACACTGAACCTTTTTACCCCACAGGAAATGCACCTCCAATGCCTCTGTCCCAGGTCCCGTCTACCTGTGGCTACAGCATGCAGAGGAACTCATATGCACTTGTCATGTTGGTTCCCTATGATGGCTGCAACATGGTTCAAGAGGTAATGTGAAACTGATTTAAAGAGTGAGGAAGTGAGTTTAAAATTACGATGGCTAGTGCTGTGAATTGTTATAGTTATGAATGGTGTAACGAGAGCTAAAAAAAATAAATGTTTAATCTGCATCATATTGATCGCAAGCGAAAATGTGTTTTCAGCTTTTCAAATGCGAGTTGTTTTTCGTTTGCTTTCAAATGTACTGATTAACTATGTTTTTTGGATGGGGACCGACATTCAAATATGTTGCATCATGATGATCTATTTAGAAAATATAGCATGAGATTAATCTTTTGCCTTGTACAGTCGGATTGTAACATTGACAGGTTTGTGTGATTCCTTGCGGTTTCTAATTGTATGTTTTTCTCCCAAAGGGTGGAAGTTATGTACTCCCGATGCGTTGGCAAGGAATTCCAGTCTCTCTATGGTGTTCCAAACCTGCCTCACCTCCTGCCTCACCTACTGCCGCACCTCCTGCTTCCAAAACGACTTCCCCCAATTCCCCTGTAGCTCAGATGCCTCAAAACCCTCTGATGCCTCAAAACCCTCTGATGCCTCAAAACCCTCTGATGCCTCAAAACCCTCTGATGCCTCAAAACCCCCAGATGCCTCAAAACCCCCAGATGCCTCAAAACCCCCAGATGCCTCAATTCCCCCAGATGCCTCAATTCCCCCAGATGCCTCAAACCCCCAGATGCCTCAAAACCCCCAGATGCCTCAAAACCCCCAGATGCCTCAAGACCCCCAGATGCCTCAAGACCCCCAGATGCCTCAAGACCCCCAGATGCCTCAAGACCCCCAGATGCCTCAAGACCCCCAGATGCCTCAAGACCCCCAGATGCCTCAAGACCCCCAGATGCCTCAAGACCCCCAGATGCCTCAAAACCCTCAATACCCTCAGATGCCTCAAAACCCTCAAAACCCTCAATACCCTCAAAACCCTCAATACCCTCAAAACCCTCAGATGCCTCAATACCCTCAGATGCCTCAATACCCTCAGATGCCTCAATACCCTCAGATGCCTCAATACCCTCAGATGCCTCAAGACCCTCAGATGCCTCAGAACCCTCAAAACCCTCAGAACCCTCAGATGCCTCAAAACCCTCAGATGCCTCAAAACCCTCAGATGCCTCAAAACCCTCAGATGCCTCAAAACCCTCAGATGCCTCAAAACCCTCAAAACCCCCAGATGCCTCAAAACCCCCAGATGCCTCAAAACCCCCAGATGCCTCAAAACCCCCAAAACCCCCAGATGCCTCAAAACCCCCAGATGCCTCAATTCCCTCAGATGCCTCAATTCCCTCAGATGCCTCAAAACCCCCAGATGCCTCAAGACCCCCAGATGCCTCAAGACCCCCAGATGCCTCAAGACCCCCAGATGCCTCAAGACCCCCAGATGCCTCAAGACCCCCAGATGCCTCAAGACCCCCAGATGCCTCAAGACCCCAGATGCCTCAAGACCCCAGATGCCTCAAGACCCCCAGATGCCTCAAGACCCCCAGATGCCTCAAGACCCCCAGATGCCTCAAGACCCCCAGATGCCTCAAGACCCCCAGATGCCTCAAGACCCCCCAGATGCCTCAAGACCCCCAGATGCCTCAAGACCCCCAGATGCCTCAAGACCCCCAGATGCCTCAAGACCCCCAGATGCCTCAAGACCCCCAGATGCCTCAAGACCCCCAGATGCCTCAAGACCCCCAGATGCTCAAGACCCCCAGGATGCCTCAAGACCCCCAGATGCCTCAAGACCCCCAGATGCCTCAAGACCCCCAGATGCCTTCAAGACCCCCCCGGATGCCCTCAAAAAACCCTCAATACCCTCAGATGCCTCAAAACCCTCAATACCCTCAGATGCCTCAAAACCCTCAGATGCCTCAAGACCCTCAGATGCCTCAAGACCCTCAGATGCCTCAAAACCCTCAATACCCTCAGATGCCTCAATACCCTCAGAACCCTCAGATGCCTCAATACCCTCAGATGCCTCAAGACCCTCAGATGCCTCAAGACCCTCAGATGCCTCAAGACCCTCAGATGCCTCAAGACCCTCAATACCCTCAGAACCCTCAATACCCTCTGATGCCTCAAGACCCTCAATACCCTCAGAACCCTCAATACCCTCTGATGCCTCCAAACCCTCCAAACCCTCTGATGCCTCCAAACCCTCTGATGCCTCCAAACCCTCTGATGCCTCCAAACCCTCTGATGCCTCTGATGCCTCCGATGCCTCTGATGCCTCCGATGCCTCTGATGCCTCCAAACCCTCTGATGCCTCCAAACCCTCTGATGCCTCCAAACCCTCTGATGCCTCAGATGCCTCAGATGCCTCAAAACCCTCAGATGCCTCAAAACCCTCAGATGCCTCAAAACCCTCAGATGCCTCAAAACCCTCAGATGCCTCAAAACCCTCAGATGCCTCAAAACCCTCAGATGCCTCAATACCCTCCGATGCCTCAATACCCTCCGATGCCTCAATACCCTCCGATGCCTCAATACCCTCCGATGCCTCAATACCCTCCGATGCCTCAATACCCTCCGATGCCTCAATACCCTCCGATGCCTCAATACCATGAGATGCCTCAATACCATGAGATGCCTCAAAACCCTAAGATGCCTGAGGCAACGACCACACGGCCTACAACTGCAAAGGCGACTCAAATTCCTAAAATTCCTGCACTGCCTCTGATTCCTCAATACACTCAGATGCCTCAATACGCTCTGATGCCTCAATACCATCTGATGCGTCAATACCCTAATATGCCGGAGACAACAACAGCAACGACCACACGGACTACAACTGCAAAGGCGACTCAAATTCCTAAAATTCCTGCACTGCCTCAGATGCCTCAATACGCTCATATGCCTCAATACCATCTGATGCGTCAATACCCTAAGATGCCGGAGACAACAACAGCAACGACCACACGGACTACAACTGCAAAGGCGACTCAAATTCCTAAAATTCCTGCACTGCCTCAGATGCCTCAATACGCTCATATGCCTCAATACCATCTGATGCGTCAATACCCTAAGATGCCGGAGACAACAACAGCAATGACCACACGGCCTACAACTGCAAAGGCGACTCAAATTCCTGCACTGCCTCAGATGCCTCAAAACCCTCAGATGCCTCAAAACCCTCAGATGCCTCAATACGCTCATATGCCGTTTCCACAATATATGCCGATGTATCCTCCCTTTAATCCTCTTTATCCTCCCAAATATCCAGCTACAAAGCCAAAAACTACTACAACTAAAGGCTAAAAATTCCTTATCTTAGCTTCCACCATCTATGCCTTACTATCATCTTTAACCTACGATCCCTCCCATCCCCAATATCCAACCACTCCAGCTACCACTGTGAAACCAGATCCCCTGCCCACTCCGGCACCCCATCCTCCTTTTCATCCCCATGTTCACTTGCCCATATCATTGCTGTCTCCTTTTCCTCCTCCACGCTACCTTACTTAAACAGTTTCTAATAAAAGTTTTGAACAGAGACGCTTTCCAGTTTGTGCTTTTTTTTTTTTTAACCTTCAACTACCCAGAGACTCTTTATTCCAGGCTCTTCAAGAAGTCTCATTTGGTTTGTGAATGAGTGAATAGTCCATATTGAGAAAATGACATTTAATTTAAACAGAGAAATTGTGCTGACAAATGATTAACTTAAAGGGGACCTATCATGCAAAATGCACTTTTGTACGTCTTTTATACATGAATATGTGTCCCTGGTGTTCCAGGGAACTCACCAAGTGTCAGAAAACACAACCCTCTCTATTTTCCTCCATACCCAAATCTCTAAAAAAGGGGCTGCAACGGATCTGATACAGACTGATCCAGATTTGAACACTTCTGTCGTCACAGAAGTGGCGCTACGGCTATTGGGCCAACTCTCCACCTATCAGGGGAATGTGGGGTTGGGCCATTGCCGCTCGAAAGCGCTGGAGACGCTGTAGTACATATGCCAGGCCTGTAAGTGGCGCTGTAGTCTGCCACAAAAGCAGCGAAGAAGACTTCCCGCCTATAGTTACCATGGTTACCCTTCTGTTTATTCTCCGCTGTGGCTTTTTTTTCTCCCTCCCCGAGGCAAGCGTTTGCTCCCGCTGCTTTAATTCAATGCAATCCCTCCCCATCGAGGCAAGCACTGTAATTCTCTCCGGTTAGTCCACCAGCAGATGACAAACACCCACCTCTCCGCCTCTTCCAAGGAACGAGGGGACCGTGCGGCAGAGTTTCAGTTTCTTTCGCCGGTCAAGATGTCCGTTAAAGTTTAAATCTTCCGGACAAAATTAGAAAAGTGCCGGTCAAAGGTCTTCGTTATTTATTGAGCTTTAAAACAAATGAATAACGACTCTATAGGCCTATAATAAAACCATAGACTGTGTGTGTTCAAGGTTCAAGGTTCTTTATTGTCAATCTGACATAGCTACAGAGTAATTATGCAGTTGAAAATCTTATGTCACAGGCTTCTCCAACAATGCAACATAATAACATAACATAACAATAAGAGCATGAGCAATACAAAAATAATAATAGTTATAAAAATGAAATAAAGTTATGATGTGGAATAGTGCAGTATGAGTCTATATACAAGTTATTGGAATGATATATATATATTAGGTATTAGATACATACTACATACTACAGATGTCTCAAAACCCCCATATGCCTCAAAACCCCCAGATGCCTCAAAACCCCCAGATGCCTCAAAACCCCCAGATGCCTCAAAACCCCCAGATGCCCCAAAACCCCCAGATGCCTCAAAAACCCCCAAAACCCGCAGATGCCTCAAAACCCCCAGATGCCTCAATTCCCTCAGATGCCTCAAAACCCTCAGATGCCTCAAAACCCCCAGATGCCTCAAAACCCCCAGATGCCTCAAAACCCCCAGATGCCTCAAAACCCCCAGATGCCTCAAAACCCCCAGATGCCTCAAGACCCCCAGATGCCTCAAGACCCCCAGATGCCTCAAGATCCCCAGATGCCTCAAGACCCCCAGATGCCTCAAGACCCCCAGATGCCTCAAGACCCCCAGATGCCTCAAAACCCTCAATACCCTCAGATGCCTCAAAACCCTCAGATGCCTCAAGACCCTCAGATGCCTCAAGACCCTCAGATGCCTCAAGACCCTCAGATGCCTCAATACCCTCAGATGCCTCAAAACCCTCAATACCCTCAGATGCCTCAAAACCCTCAATACCCTCAGATGCCTCAAAACCCTCTGACGCCTCAAAACCCTCAAAACCCTCTGATGTCTCAAAACCCTCAGATGTCTCAAAACCCTCAAAACCCTCTGTCTCAAAACCCTCTGTCTCAAAACCCTCTGTCTCAAGACCCTCAGATGCCTCAAGACCCTCAGATGCCTCAAGACCCTCAGATGCCTCAAGACCCTCAGATGCCTCAAGACCCTCAGATGCCTCAAGACCCTCAGATGCCTCAAGACCCTCAGATGCCTCCAAACCCTCAATACCCTCAGATGCCTCCAAACCCCTCAATACCCTCAGATGCCTCCAAACCCTCAATACCCTCAGATGCCTCCAAACCCTCAAAACCCTCAGATGCCTCAAAACCCTCAAAACCCTCTGATGCCTCAAAACCCTCAAAACCCTCAGATGCCTCAAAACCCTCAACACTCTCAGATGCCTCCAAACCCTCCAAACCCTCTGATGCCTCCAAACCCTCTGATGCCTCCAAACCCTCTGATGCCTCAAACCCTCTGATGCCTCCAAACCCTCTGATGCCTCCAAACCCTCTGATGCCTCAGATGCCTCAAAACCCTCAGATGCCTCAAAACCCTCAGATGCCTCAAAACCCTCAGATGCCTCAATACGCTCAGATGCCTCAATACGCTCAGATGCCTCAATACGCTCAGATGCCTCAATACGCTCAGATGCCTCAATACGCTCAGATGCCTCAATACGCTCAGATGCCTCAATACGCTCAGATGCCTCAATACCCTCCGATGCCTCAATACCCTCCGATGCCTCAATACCCTCAGATGCCTCAATACCATGAGATGCCTCAATACCATGAGATGCCTCAAAACCCTAAGATGCCTGAGGCAACGACCACACGGCCTACAACTGCAAAGGCGACTCAAATTCCTAAAATTCCTGCACTGCCTCTGATTCCTCAATACACTCAGATGCCTCAATACGCTCTGATGCCTCAATACCATCTGATGCGTCAATACCCTAAGATGCCGGAGACAACAACAGCAACGACCCACACGGACTACAACTGCAAAAGGCGACTCAAATTCCTAAAATTCCTGCACTGCCTCAGATGCCTCAATACGCTCATATGCCTCAATACCATCTGATGCGTCAATACCCTAAGATGCCGGAGACAACAACAGCAACGACCACACGGACTACAACTGCAAAGGCGACTCAAATTCCTAAAATTCCTGCACTGCCTCAGATGCCTCAATACGCTCATATGCCTCAATACCATCTGATGCGTCAATACCCTAAGATGCCGGAGACAACAACAGCAATGACCACACGGCCTACAACTGCAAAGGCGACTCAAATTCCTGCACTGCCTCAGATGCCTCAAAACCCTCAGATGCCTCAAAACCCTCAGATGCCTCAATACGCTCATATGCCGTTTCCACAATATATGCCGATGTATCCTCCCTTTAATCCTCTTTATCCTCCCAAATATCCAGCTACAAAGCCAAAAACTACTACAACTAAAGGCTAAAAATTCCTTATCTTAGCTTCCACCATCTATGCCTTACTATCATCTTTAACCTACGATCCCTCCCATCCCCAATATCCAACCACTCCAGCTACCACTGTGAAACCAGATCCCCTGCCCACTCCGGCACCCCATCCTCCTTTTCATCCCCATGTTCACTTGCCCATATCACTGCTGTCTCCTTTTCCTCCTCCACGCTACCTTACTTAAACAGTTCTAATAAAAGTTTTGAACAGAGACGCTTTCCAGTTTGTGCTTTTTTTTTTTTTTAACCTTCAACTACCCAAGAGACTCTTTATTCCAGGCTCTTCAAGAAGTCTCATTTGGTTTGTGAATGAGTGAATAGTCCATATTGAGAAAATGACATTTAATTTAAACAGAGAAATTGTGCTGACAAATGATTAACTTAAAGGGGACCTATCATGCAAAATGCACTTTTGTACGTCTTTTATACATGAATATGTGTCCCTGGTGTTCCAGGGAACTCACCAAGTGTCAGAAAACACAACCCTCTCTATTTTCCTCCATACCCAAATCTCTAAAAAAGGGGCTGCAACGGATCTGATACAGACTGATCCAGATTTGAACACTTCTGTCGTCACAGAAGTGGCGCTACGGCTATTGGGCCAACTCTCCACCTATCAGGGGAATGTGGGGTTGGGCCATTGCCGCTCGAAAGCGCTGGGACGCTGTAGTACGTATGCCAGGCCTGTAAGTGGCGCTGTAGTCTGCCACAAAAGCAGCGAAGAAGACTTCCCGCCCATAGTTACCATGGTTACCCTTCTGTTTATATTCGCCGCTGTGGCTTTTTTTTCTCCCTCCCCCGAGGCAAGCGTTTGCTCCCGCTGCTTTAATTCAATGCAATCCCTCCCCATCGAGGCAAGCACTGTAATTCTCTCCGGTTAGTCCACCAGCAGATGACAAACACCCACCTCTCCGCCTCTTCCAAGGAACGAGGGGACCGTGCGGCAGAGTTTCAGTTTCTTTCGCCGGTCAAGATGTCCGTTAAAGTTTAAATCTTCCGGACAAAAATTAGAAAAGTGCCGGTCAAAGGTCTTCGTTATTTATTGAGCTTTAAAACAAATGAATAACGACTCTATAGGCCTATAATAAAACCATAGACTGTGTGTGTTCAAGGTTCAAGGTTCTTTATTGTCAATCTGACATAGCTACAGAGTAATTATGCAGTTGAAAATCTTATGTCACAGGCTTCTCCAACAATGCAACATAATAACATAACATAATAACAATAAGAGCATGAGCAATACAAAAATAATAATAGTTATAAAAATGAAATAAAGTTATGATGTGGAATAGTGCAGTATGAGTCTATATACAAGTTATTGGAATGATATATATATATTAGGTATTAGATACATACTACTGAGTAGCAGTTGAATGTTTGAAGTTGTTTCAACAGTTCAATTTTTTAACAGTCTCACTCCCCGCGGGAAGAAACCTGTCTCCGAATCTTCTTGTCCTTGCCAGGATGCTGCGGTAACGTCTGCCAGACGGCAACAGAAAGAACAGTTTGTGGCTGGGGTGATGGGGGTCTTTGATAATCCGTAGTGATTTCTTCCTGAGCCGCTGGGAGTAAAGGTCCTCCATGGATGGCAGCTCCGTCCTGGTGATGTGCTGTGCAGTTTTCACCCACCCTCTGTAAAGCCTTACGATCGAGGTCGGTGCAGCTGCCGTACCAGGCCGTCATGCTGCCAGTGAGGATACTCTCTATCGTGCACCTGTAGAAGTTGCAGAGTATCCTGGAATCCATTTTGAACCTCCTCAACCTGCGGAGGAAGAAGAGCCGCTGTCGAGCTTTCTTGGTGATGGTGGTGGTGTGAAGAGACCATGTCAGGTCCTCAGTGATGTGGACCCCAAGGAACCTGAAGCTTTTGACTCTCTCCACCGTAGTCCCATTGATGGCGATGGGGGCTTGTCCCTCTCCCTGCTGCTTCCTGTAGTCCACAATCAGCTCCTTTGTTTTGCTGATGTTGAGATGGAGGTTGTTCTCCTGGCACCAAGATGTCAGGTTTTCGACCTCCTCTCTGTACGCCGTCTCGTCATCGTCTGTGATCTGGCCGATGACGGTCGTGTCATCAGCAAACTTCACGATGGTGTTGGAGCTTGTGTGTGGCCACGCAGTCGTGGGTGAACAGGGAGTAGAGGAGAGGGCTGAGCACGCAGCCTTGAGGGGCACCGGTGTTGAGAATCAGGGTGGAGGATGTGATATTTCCCACCCGCACTGCCTGGGGTCTGCCCGTCAGGAAGTTCAGGATCCAGTCACAGAGGGCGCTGTTGAGCCCGAGGTCTCTGAGCTTGATGGCCAGCTTGGAGGGCACAATGGTGTTGAATGCTGAACTGTAGTCAATGAACAGCATTCTCACATATGTGTTCCTGTTCTTCGGGTCCAGGTGTGAGAGGGCAGTGTGGAGGGTGAGGGCTATGGCGTCGTCTGTGGACCTGTTTGCTCTGTAGACAAACTGCAGGGGGTCCAGAGATTCAGGGAGGGAGGAGGTGATGAATAATTTGACTAACCGCTCAAAGCACTTCATTATGATGGAGGTGAGTGCTACTGGGCGGTAGTCGTTGGGGCAGGTGATGATTGTCTTTTTGGGGACAGGAATGATGGTGGAGTGTTTAAGACATGTGGGGACTACAGACTGCAGCAGGGACCTGTTGAAGATGTCTGTGAACACCTCTGCCAGCTGAACTGCACACCACCCTGAGAACACGGCCAGGGATGCCATCAGGTCCAGGAGCCTTGTGTGGGTTAACCCTTTTAAAGGATTTACACACATCTGCCCTATTTAAAACAAAAGGGCAGTGTAGCTCCTGGTCCCTCTGTACCTCCACAGCCTGGCTGCTCTCAAAGCGTGCAAAAAAACTGTTTAGCTCATCTGGGAGAGATGCGCACGCAGACACTCCCGCAGCACCCCCCGCTGCTTCCTTTGTAGTCAGTCATTGTCCTTAGTCCCGCCCACATATTCCTAGTGTTTACAGCCTTTGAAGTCAGATTCCACCTTGTCTTTGTACTGTCTCTTTGCATTTTGAATTGCTCTCCGGAGATCATACCTAGACTTCCTGTACTCCTCCAAATCTCCCGCTGTGTGCGCGAGAGTGCGCCGCTTTCAGTTTGCCGCGCACCTCACCGTTTACCCAGGGCTTTTGATTTGGGAATGTCCGTACAGAAACCTTCGGTTACCCACGTCATCGATGCATTTCCCAATGTAGCAGATGACAGTGTCCGTGTGTGTGTTGATGTTATTGTCCTCAAACACACTCCAATCCGTAGATGCAAAGCAATCCTGCAGTGCTGAATCTGACTCCTCGCTCCATCGTTGTACTGTCCTTGTTATCGGTCCTGTCCCTTTAAGTTTCTGCTTGTACGCAGGCAACAACAGTAGTGAGATATGGTCTGATTTGCCGAAGGGAGGGCGAGGGAGAGCCTTATATCCATTCCGGAAAGGGGAATAAACATGGTCCAGTATGTTTCCCCCGCGCGTCGGGAAGTTGATGTGTTGGTAATATTTTGGCAAAACCTTCTTCATGTTGGCGGTGTTGAAAATCTCCGGCCACAACGAACGCCGCATCTGGCCGTGAAGTCTCGGTTTTATCAATAAACCCAAACAGCTGATCGAGTGCCGTGTTGTTGTCGGCGAGTGGCTGCGGCGGGATATACACTGCTGTTATCACAACAGATGTGAATTCCCTCGGCAGATGGAAGGCCCGACATGAGATCATGAGGTGCTCTAAGCTGTGCGGAACAGTCCGATGAAATAATCTTCACATCTGAGCACCAGTTGTTGTTAGTCATTACACACACACCGCCTCCCTTACTTTTCCCCGAGGTTAGCAGTCCGGTCCTGACGAAAAATAGAGAATCCGTCAGGGACAATAGCGGAGTCCGGGATAGCGGGGTTGAGCCAAGTCTCAGTGAGAATTAACACGTTACAGTTCTTAATGTCCCGTTGAAAAGCAATCCGGCTTCTGAGTTCATCTAGCTTATTTTCAATGGATTGAACATTAGCCAGAAGAATACTCGGAAGAGGGGGCCGATTTTCTCGTTTTCTCTCAGTCTGACCAGCAACCCGGCCCGGCATCCCCGCTTTGTCTTCTTCTTGCGTCTCTCAGGTAGAACAGCAACAGGTAGCCATGGTGAATCTCCATTGTTTGTCGGAGGGTTAATATTGTCCACGAAGTTTCGCAATTGGAAAAGTTCCTCTCTGCTATATTGTATGGCAGAGTAGGTGCGGTCGGCTAGCATGTTGCGAACCATGATAAAGTAAAACGGCAAAAGTAAAAGAAATATGTACAAAATACGAAAATGGGCAAAGTTGGAGAGGAGCACAAAGACGATGCGGCCATCTTCACCGGCGCATCATAGGTGTAACCTATGTGTGTGTATCTATATATATATATATATATTATATATAATATATACGGAGATCTCTTTTTCTCCCCCTCTTGACTTGATCAGAGCACTGGCTTCCCTCTCCTGCAGGGGGGCGTGGTCAGCTGCAGCTCACAGATGTGCCCCGTAAACAAGCACATAGAGCGAAATGAGGCATGGCTAAAATGCATGATCTGTTAGGTATTTTGAAAACAGAAACGTATAAATATACCTTATATAGGTATGGCCCTACAATATATCATTTAAATATAGCATGATAGGTCCACTTTAAATTCCTACATTTATAAATTCAATTAATGTTGGCATTTGAAGTGTTGTCATAGTGTGGCTTTGTGTCCACATGGTGGCATCATTGCTCAACCATTTCTTAGTAGGTTTTGAATTGGAACCTTTTTGTGTTCACAATAGCTTTCCTTGTGTGAACAGCTTTAAAAGGGTTGTATTTTTGAAAATGTATTTCAGTCAAAGGTAAAGTTCCATCATGTCCTTTCCTAAAATAATTAACATCTGCTGTGTGAGGGACGCTGGCTTCACTCATTACATACACCAACTCTGAAATGGAGCATTTACAACTTTGGGCAGTTATGCAAATCAAAACAATGAACCTTCAGCATTTGTCTCTTTTGGTTTGTAAACTGGAGTAGCATTACTAATATTTGGTCTAACACTAGGTCATAAGTGTTCAAACTACACACTGTAGATGTTATATTGTAAAAGTAGCCTTCATACAACTAAAAATGACTTGACAGGTGAGATCCTTAATTATTCAAGTGAAATGTCAACAATGATAGAAGCAAAACCTTTTATCCTACAGGGTGTCCTTAACACCTGTGGTATTGTTTCTTTCAAATTATGGAACTAACCATAAAACGACATCTCTGGTCCAAGTCAGGCTGGGAACACTGATGCATGTTCACCATCCCGTTACCGTCTGATTGGCTTTCCTTGATGTGAAGATAAATATTTTGTCTTCTAAATAAGGGAAAGCATTGTTATACATCTAATTATTGTGGGTCAAAGTAGATTAACAAATCAAAATAGTCAGACTCTTCCCTTGCATTTATTGGTTTGTTATCGAAATCAAAAACCGTATGATACATTACACAAAATTATGAAGAACCAAGAATCGGGGGATATTTTTATTTGAACTCTGAAAGGACTTAATGGACTTTGCATTCTCAAGCTTGTGCAAAGTTGTTTGTATACTTTTGAATAAAACTTGTATACCGCTTCGTGAATAAAGATTTGGGGGGAAATATTTCATTTCTCGTTTTTTCCCCTTTCCTGTTAAGTCGGGGAAAATAACAATGGGGAATGTCTTATATTAAGAATACTTGAGGTGAGAACATCTTTTAAATATAATAGGTTAGCAATTGAGGATGTGTAGACATTCTTGGTATATTTCCATGTTTTCTTTCCATTGTCTTTGGATGTACTGCTGTTCTTGTTTATCCTCACAAGCCTTTAATCTACATTTAAAGTATTGGAGCAATATAGTAAATAAGTTTTTCTATTTTCTAAGTGTCCTAATTACATCAAATGAGTTGTATTTAGTCTACTGTTATGTAAACGCATAAAGGTGCGCCGCATTTGCGCTTCAATGCCATGCGATCTACCCACACTACCTTTGCGATCGACGTATTGGGCACCCCCGATCTACATGATCAATATACAGGGCTTACTTTGTAGACATTAGACAAGTCTTAACGAGGCCCACCTGTTGCAAGCTAATTGAACACAGATGCAAGCATTAGCTGAGGCTGCACCTGCCTTGTTGATTGGCTGCCTGGTGGTAATATGTGCCAGTATTAAAAGCCCTTTCTCATGCTTCATTGCCAAGTGCTCTCCACCCGCAGTGAGTTTGATTTTACAGAATGGGTATCCTATGAGCACCTATCACAGCTGTATTGGTTGTCACAGCACCTGCTGATGCTCAAATAGTTGCGGCAAAGAAAGTTATCTCATCTCTTCACATTACCAGCAGTCATGTGCAAGAGAAAAGGCGCCGGTGTTTACCTGGCTGCAGCTGTTATTCTGACGTGTTATTTTGCGCAAACTATAGATTGTTATCGTCTGAAGAAAAGAGAAAGACATGAAGGGAGAAAAGATGCCGAAACAACAAATGGGTTCCAAGAGGGGACAATTGTTTTCGGGAGAGCTTTTGAAAAAGGGTCAGGACTTGATTCTCAAGTCACAGGCGGGACCAAGAAGTCATCCTCAAACGCTTATGTGGAGGATGAAGGTGCTTATCAAGCAGACTCTGCAGGTAAAAATATTTTGATTACGTATTGAAGCGTTTTGTTATTTTGCTTGAATTGTTTTTGCTTCTCTTTAAAGTACAAACTATTGAAAAGAAAAAATATATATATATTTTTTATTCGCCTTCAGGCTGGATGAGCCCAACACAAGACGCCAGTCCCAAAGACTCGTCATGGATGAGCATGTCGCCCTCACTGCAGTGTGGTACGGGCCAGTTGAAGTTCAGAGTGGTGGGATCAGGAATTTCACAATTTGCGGTAGAACAAGGTAAATTAATAGCCATAATATCCTAAATGTAGACTTGATTTATCTCTACCAATGATATAAACACTGAACCTTTTTACCCCACAGGAAATGCACCTCCAATGCCTCTGTCCCAGGTCCCGTCTACCTGTGGCTACAGCATGCAGATGAACTCATATGCACTTGTCATGTTGGTTTCCCTATGATGGCTGCAACATGGTTCAAGAGGTAATGTGAAAACTGATTTAAAGAGTGAGGAAGTGAGTTTAAAATTACGATGGCTAGTGCTGTGAATTGTTATAGTTATGGATGGTGTAACGAGAGCTAAAAAATTAAATGTTTAATCTGCATCATATTGATCGCAAGGGAAAATGTGTTTTTCAGCTTTTCAAATGCGAGTTGTTTTTCGCTTGCTTTCAAATGTACTGATTAACTATGTTTTTTGGATGGGGACCGACATTCAAATATGTTGCATCATGATGATCTATTTAGAAAATATAGCATGAGATTACTCTTTTGCCTTGTACAGTCGGATTGTAACATTGACAGGTTTGTGTGATTCCTTGCGGTTTCTAATTGTATGTTGTTTTTCCCAAAGGGTGGAAGTTATGTACTCCCGATGCGTTGGCAAGGAATTCCAGTCTCTCTCTGGTGTTCCAAACCTGCCTCACCTCCTGCCTCACCTACTGCCGCACCTCCTGCTTCCAAAACGACTTTCCCCAATTCCCCTGTAGCTCAGATGCCTCAAACCCTCTGATGCCTCAAAACCCTCTGATGCCTCAAAACCCTCTGATGCCTCAAAACCCTCTGATGCCTCAAAACCCCCTGATGCCTCAATTCCCTCAGATGCCTCAATTCCCTCAGATGCCTCAATTCCCTCAGATGCCTCAATTCCCTCAGATGCCTCAAAACCCCCAGATGCCTCAAAACCCCAGATGCCTCAAAACCCCCAGATGCCTCAAAACCCCCAGATGCCTCAAAACCCCCAGATGCCTCAAAACCCCCAGATGCCTCAAAACCCCCAGATGCCTAAAACCCCAGATGCCTCAAAACCCCCAGATGCCTCAAAACCCCCAGATGCCATCAAAACCCCAGATGCCTCAAAACCCCCCAGATGCCTCAAAACCCCCAGATGCCTCAAAAACCCCAGATGCCTCAAAACCCCCAGATGCCTCAAAACCCCCAGATGCCTCAAAACCCTCAGATGCCTCAAGACCCTCAGATGCCTCAAGACCCTCAAAACCCTCAGATGTCTCAAAACCCTCAGATGTCTCAAGACCCTCAGATGCCTCAAGACCCTCTGATGCCTGAAACCCTCTGATGCCTCAAAACCCTCCGATGCCTCAAAACCCTCCGATGCCCTCAGATGCCTCAAAACCCTTTGAATGCCTCAAAACCCCCAGATGCCTCAAACCCCCAGATGCCTCAAAACCCCCAGATGCCTCAAACACCCCCAGAGCCTCAACCCCACGATGCCTCAAAACCCCCAGATGCCTCAAAACCCCAGATGCCTCAAAACCCCCCCCCAGATGCCTCAAAACCCCCAGATGCCTCAAAACCCCAGATGCCTCAAAACCCCCAGATGCCTCAAAACCCCCAGCCTCAAAACCCCCAGATGCCTCAAAACCCCCAGATGCCTCAAAACCCCCAGATGCCTCAAAACCCCCAGATGCCTCAAAACCCCCAGATGCCTCAAACCCCCAGATGCCTCAAAACCCCCAGATGCCTCAAAACCCCCAGATGCCTCAAAACCCCCAGATGCCTCAAGACCCTCAGATGCCTCAAGACCCTCAAAACCCTTTGATGTCTCAAAACCCTTTGATGTCTCAAAACCCTTGATGTCTCAAAACCCTCAGATGCCTGAAAACCCTCTGATGCCTCAAACCCTCCGATGCCTCAGATGCCTCAGATGCCTCAGATGCCTCAGATGCCTCAGATGCCTCAGATGCCTCAAAACCCTTTGATGCCTCAAAACCCTTTGATGCCTCAAAACCCTCTGATGCCTCAAAACCCTTTGATGCCTCAAAACCCTCTGATGCCTCAAACCCCTCTGATGCCTCAAACCCCTCTGATGCCTCAAAACCCTCTGATGCCTCAAAACCCTCTGATGCCTCAAACCCCTCTGATGCCTCAAACCCCTCTGATGCCTCAAACCCCTCTGATGCCTCAAACCCCTCTGATGCCTCAAACCCCTCTGATGCCTCAAACCCCTCTGATGCCTCAAACACCCTCTGATGCCTCAAACCCCTCTGATGCCTCAAACCCCTCTGATGCCTCAAACCCCTCTGATGCCTCAAACCCCTCTGATGCCTCAAACCCCTCTGATGCCTCAAACCCCTCGGATGCCTCAAACCCCTCGGATGCCTCAATACCCTCGGATGCCTCAATACCCTCGGATGCCTCAAAACCCTAAGATGCCTGAGGCAACGACCACACGGCCTACAACTGCAAAGGCGACTCAAATTCCTAAAATTCCTGCACTGCCTCTGATGCCTCAATACGCTCTGATGCCTCAATACGCTCTGATGCCTCAATACGCTCTGATGCCTCAATACCATCTGATGCCTCAATACCATCTGATGCCTCAATACCATCTGATGCCTCAATACCATCTGATGCGTCAATATCCTAAGATGCCGGAGACAACTACAGCAACGACCACACGGCCTACAACTGCAAAAGGCGACTCAAATTCCTGCACTGCCTCAGATGCCTCAAAACCCTCAGATGCCTCAATACGCTCATATGCCGATGTATCCTCCCTTTAATCCTCTTTATCCAGCTACAAAGCCAAAAAACTACTACAACTAAAGGCTAAAAATCCCTTCTCTTAGCTTCCACCATCTATGCCTTACTATCATCTTTAAACCTACGATCCCTCCCATCCCCAATATCCAACCACTCCAGCTACCACTGTGAAACCAGATCCCCCCGCCCACTCCGGCACCCATCCTCCTTTTCATCCCCATGTTCACTTGCCCATATCATTGCTGCCTCCTTTTCCTCCTCCACGCTACCTTACTTAAACAGTTCTAATAAAAGTTTTGAACGGAGACGCTTTCCAGTTTGTGCTTCTTTTTTTTTAACCTTCAACTACCCAAGAGACTCTTTATTCCAGGCTCTTCAAGACGTCTCATTTGGTTTGTGAATGAGTGAATAGTCCATATTGAGAAAATGACATTTAATTTAAACAGAGAAATTGTGCTGACAAATGATTAACTTAAAGGGGACTATCATGCAAAATGCACTTTTGTACGTCTTTTATACATGAATATGTGTCCCTGGTGTTCCAGGGAACTCACCAAGTGTCAGAAAACACAACCCTCTCTATTTTCCTCCATACCCAAATCTCTAAAAAAGGGGCTGAAACGGATCTGATACAGACTGATCCAGATTTGAACACTTCTATGTCGTCACAGAAGTGGCGCTACGGCTATTGGGCCAACTCTCCACCTATCAGGGGAATGTGGGGTTGGGCCACGGCCGGCCATTGCCGCTCGAAAGTGCTGGAGACGCTGTAGTACATATGCCAGGCCTGTAAGTGGCGCTGTAGTCTGCCACAAAAGCAGCGAAGAAGACTTCCCGCCCATAGTTACCATGGTTACCCTTCTGTTTATTCTCCGCTGTGGGTTTTTTTCTCCCTCCCCGAGGCAAGCGTTTGCTCCCGCTGCTTTAATTCAATGCAATCCCTCCCCATCGAGGCAAAGCACTGTAATTCTCTCCGGTTAGTCCACCAGCAGATGACAACCCACCTCTCCGCCTCTTCCAAGGAACGAGGGGACCGTGCCGGTCAAAGGTCTTCTTTGTTATTTATTTATTTATTTAAAACAAATGAATAACGACTCTATAGGCCTATAGTATAATAAAACCATAGACTGTGTATATATATATATATCACGGAGGACGGAGATTTTTTTTCTCCCCCTCTTGACTTGATCAGAGCACAGCTTCCCTCTCCTGCAGGGGGGCGTGGTCAGCTGCAGCTCACAGAGATGTGCCCCGTAGACGGCAAACAGCACATAGAGCGAAATGAGCCATGGCTGAAATGCATGATCTGTTAGGTATTTTGAAAACAGAAACGTATAAATATACCTTATATATGTATGGCCCTACAATATATCATTTAAATATAGCATGATAGGTCCACTTTAAATTCCTACATTTATAAATTCAATTAATGTTTGGCATTTGAAGTGTTGTCATAGTGTGGCTTTGTGTCCACATGGTGGCACCATTGCTCAACCATTTCTTAGTAGGTTTTGAATTGGAACCTTTTGTGTTCACAATAGCTTTCCTGGTGTGAAAAAGCTTTAAAAGGGTTGTATTTTTGAAAATGTATTTCAGTCAAAGGTAAAGTTCCATCATGTCCTTTCCTAAAATAATTAACATCTGCTGTGTGAGGGATGCTGGCTTCACTCATTACATACACCAACTCTGAAATGGAGCATTTACAACTTTGGGCAGTTATGCAAATCAAAACAATTAACCTTTTTCTCTTTTTGGTTTTGTAAACTGGAGTAAGCATTACTAAATATTTGGTCTAACACTAGGTCATAAGTGTTCAAACTACACATGTAGATGTTATATTGTAAAAGTAGCCTTCATACAACTAAAAATGACTTGACAGGTGAGATCCTTAATTATTCAAGTGAAATGTCAATGATAGAAGCAAAACCTTTTATCCTACAGGGTGTCCTTAACACCTGTGTATTGTTTCTTTCAAATTATGGAACTAACCATAAAACAACATCTCTGGTCCAAGTCAGGCTGGGACACTGATGCATGTTCACCATCCCGTTACCGTCTGATTGACTTTCCTTGATGTGAAGATAAATATTTTGTCTTCTAAATAAGGGAAAGCATTGTTATACATCTAATTATTGTGGGTCAAAGTAGATTAACAAATCAAAATAGTCAGACTCTTCCCTTGCATTCATTGGTTTGTTATCGAAATCAAACCGTATGATACATTACACAAAATCATGAAGAAACCAAGAATCGGGGGATATTTTTATTTGAACTCTGAAAGGACTTAATGGACTTTGCATTCTCAAGCTTGTGCAAAGTTGTTTGTATACTTTTGAATAAAACTTGTATACCGCTTCGTGAATAAAGATTTGGGGGAAATATTTAATTTCTCGTTTTTTTCCCCTTTCCTGTTAAGTCGGGGAAAATAACAATGGGGAATGTCTTATATTAAGAATACTTGAGGTGAGAACATCTTTTAAATATAATAGGTTAGCAATTGAGGATGTGTAGACATTCTTGGTATATTTCCATGTTTTCTTTCCATTGTCTTTGGATGTACTGCTGTTCTTGTTTATCCTCACAACCCTTTAATCTACATTTAAAGTATTGGAGCAATATAGTAAATAAGTTTTTCTATTTTCTAAGTGTCCTAATTACATCAAATGAGTTGTATTTAGTCTACTGTTATGTAAACGCATAAAGGTGCGCCGCATTTGCGCTTCAATGCCATGCGATCTACCCACACTACCTTTGCGATCGACGTATTGGGCACCCCCGATCTTCATGATCAATATACAGGGCTTACTTTGTAGACATTAGACAAGTCTTAACGAGGCCCACCTGTTGCAAGCTAATTGAACACAGATGCAAGCATTAGCTGAGGCTGCACCTGCCTTGTTGATTGGCTGCCTGGTGGTAATATGTGCCAGTATTAAAAGCCCTTTCTCATGCTTCATTGCCAAGTGCTCTCCACCCGCAGTGAGTTTGATTTTACAGAATGGGTATCCTATGAGCACCTATCACAGCTGTATTGGTTGTCACAGCACCTGCTGATGCTCAAATAGTTGCGGCAAAGAAAGTTATCTCATCTCTTCACATTACCAGCAGTCATGTGCAAGAGAAAAGGCGCTGGTGTTTACCTGGCTGCAGCTGTTATTCTGACGTGTTATTTTGCGCAAACTATAGATTGTTATCGTCTGAAGAAAAGAGAAAGACGAGAAGGGAGAGAAGATGCCGAAACAACAAATGGGTTCCAAGAGGGGACAATTGTTTTCGGGAGAGCTTTTGAAAAAGGGTCAGGACTTGATTCTCAAGTCACAGGCGGGACCAAGAAGTCATCCTCAAACGCTTATGTGGAGGATGAAGGTGCTTATCAAGCAGACTCTGCAGGTAAAAATATTTTGATTACGTATTGAAGGGTTTTGTTATTTTGCTTGAATTGTTTTGCTTCTCTTTAAAGTACAGACTATTGAAAAAAAAAAAAATATATATATTTTATATTCGCCTTCAGGCTGGATGAGCCCAACACAAGACGCCAGTCCCAAAGACTCGTCATGGATGAGCATGTCGCCCTCACTGCAGTGTGGTACGGGCCAGTTGAAGTTCAGAGTGGTGGGATCAGGAATTTCACAATTTGCGGTAGAACAAGGTAAATTAATAGCCATAATATCCTAAATGTAGACTTGATTTATCTCTACCAATGATATAAACACTGAACCTTTTTACCCCACAGGAAATGCACCTCCAATGCCTCTGTCCCAGGTCCCGTCTACCTGTGGCTACAGCATGCAGAGGAACTCATATGCACTTGTCATGTTGGTTCCCTATGATGGCTGCAACATGGTTCAAGAGGTAATGTGAAACTGATTTAAAGAGTGAGGGAGTGAGTTTAAAATTACGATGGCTAGTGCTGTGAATTGTTATAGTTATGAATGGTGTAACGAGAGCTAAAAAAATTAAATGTTTAATCTGCATCATATTGATCGCAAGGGAAAATGTGTTTTCAGCTTTTCAAATGCGAGTTGTTTTTCGCTTGCTTTCAAATGTACTGATTAACTATATTTTTTGGATGGGGACCGACATTCAAATATGTTGCATCATGATGATCTATTTAGAAAATATAGCATGAGATTAATCTTTTGCCTTGTACAGTCGGATTGTAACATTGACAGGTTTGTGTGATTCCTTGCGTTTTCTAATTGTATGTTTTTCTCCCAAAGGATGGAAGTTATGTACTCCCGATGCGTTGGCAAGGAATTCCAGTCTCTCTATGGTGTTCCAAACCTGCCTCACCTCCTGCCTCACCTACTGCCGCACCTCCTGCTTCACCTCCTGCTTCCAAAACGACTTCCCCCCAATTCCCCTGTAGCTCAGATGCCTCAAAACCCTCTGATGCCTCAAAACCCTCTGATGCCTCAAAACCCTCTGATGCCTCAAAACCCCCAGATGCCTCAAAACCCTCAGATGCCTCAAACCCCCAGATGCCTCAAAACCCCCAGATGCCTCAAACCCCCAGATGCCTCAAAACCCCCAGATGCCTCAAACCCCCAGATTGCCTCAAAACCCCCCAGATGCCTCAAAACCCTCTGATGCCTCAAAACCCTCTGATGCCTCAAAACCCTCTGATGCCTCAAAACCCTCTGATGCCTCAAAACCCCAAGATGCCCTCAAAACCCCCTGATGCCTCAAACCCCCCAGATGCCTCAAAGACCCCCAGATGCCTCAAGACCCCCAGATGGCCCTCAAGACCCCCAGATAAGACCATGCCTCAAGACCCCAGATGCCTCAAGACCCCCAGATGCCTCAAGACCCCCAGATGCCTCAAGACCCCCAGATGCCTCAAGACCCCCAGATGCCTCAAGACCCCCAGATGCCTCAAGACCCCCAGATGCCTCAAGACCCCCAGATGCCTCAAAACCCCCAGATGCCTCAAGACCCCCAGATGCCTCAAGACCCCCAGATGCCTCAAGACCCCCAGATGCCTCAAGACCCCCAGATGCCTCAAGACCCCCAGATGCCTCAAGACCCCCAGATGCCTCAAAACCCCCAGATGCCTCAAAACCCCCAATACCCTCTGATGCCTCAATACCCTCTGATGCCTCAATACCCTCTGATGCCTCAAAACCCTCTGATGCCTCAAAACCCCCAGATGCCTCAAAACCCCCAGATGCCTCAAAACCCCCAGATGCCTCAATTCCCCCAGATGCCTCAATTCCCCCAGATGCCTCAATTCCCCCAGATGCCTCAATTCCCCCAGATGCCTCAATTCCCCCAGATGCCTCAATTCCCCCAGATGCCTCAAGACCCTCAGATGCCTCAAGACCCTCAGATGCCTCAAGACCCTCAGATGCCTCAAGACCCTCAGATGCCTCAAGACCCCCAGATGCCTCAAGACCCCCAGATGCCTCAAGACCCCCAGATGCCTCAAGACCCCCCAGATGCCTCAAGACCCCCAGATGCCTCAAGACCCCCAGATGCCTCAAGACCCCCAGATGCCTCAAGACCCTTTGATGCCTCAAGACCCTCAGATGCCTCAAGACCCTCAGATGCCTCAAGACCCTCAGATGCCTCAAGACCCTCAGATGCCTCAAGACCCTCAGATGCCTCAAGACCCTCAGATGCCTCAAGACCCTCAGATGCCTCAAGACCCTCAGATGCCTCAAAACCCTCAAAACCCTCAGATGCCTCAAAACCCTCAAAACCCTCAAAACCCTCCGATGCCTCAAAACCCTCAATACGCTCAGATGCCTCAATACGCTCAGATGCCTCAATACGCTCAGATGCCTCAATACGCTCAGATGCCTCAATACGCTCAGATGCCTCAATACGCTCAGATGCCTCAATACGCTCAGATGCCTCAATACGCTCAGATGCCTCAATACGCTCAGATGCCTCAATACGCTCAGATGCCTCAATACGCTCAGATGCCTCAATACGCTCAGATGCCTCAATACCCTCAGATGCCTCAATACCCTCAGATGCCTCAATACCATCTGATGCGTCAATACCCTAAGATGCCGGAGACAACAACAGCAATGACCACACGGCCTACAACTGCAAAGGCGACTCAAATTCCTAAAATTCCTGCACTGCCTCAGATGCCTCAATACGCTCAGATGCCTCAATACGCTCATATGCCTCAATACCATCTGATGCGTCAATACCCTAAGATGCCGGAGACAACAACAGCAATGACCACACGGCCTACAACTGCAAAGGCCACTCAAATTCCTGCACTGCCTCAGATTCCTCAAAACCCTCAGATGCCTCAAAACCCTCAGATGCCTCACTACGCTCATATGCCGTTTCCACAATATATGCCGATGTATCCTCCCTTTAATCCTCTTTATCCAGCTACAAAGCCAAAAACTACTACAACTAAAGGCTAAAAATCCCTTATCTTAGCTTCCACCATCTATGCCTTACTATCATCTTTAACCTACGATCCCTCCCATCCCCAATATCCAACCACTCCAGCTACCACTGTGAAACCAGATCCCCCGCCCACTCCGGCACCCATCCTCCTTTTCATCCCCATGTTCACTTGCCCATATCATTGCTGCCTCCTTTTCCTCCTCCACGCTACCTTACTTAAACAGTTCTAATAAAAGTTTTGAACAGAGACGCTTTCCAGTTTGTGCTTTTTTTTTAACCTTCAACTACCCAAGAGACTCTTTATTCCAGGCTCTTCAAGAAGTCTCATTTGGTTTGTGAATGAGTGAATAGTCCATATTGAGAAAATGACATTTAATTTAAACAGAAAAATTGTGCTGACAAATGATTAACTTAAAGGGGACCTATCATGCAAAATGCACTTTTGTACGTCTTTTATACATGAATATGTGTCCCTGGTGTTCCAGGGAACTCACCAAGTGTCAGAAAACACAACCCTCTCTATTTTCCTCCATACCCAAATCTCTAAAAAAGGGGCTGCAACGGATCTGATACAGACTGATCCAGATTTGAACACTTCTATGTCGTCACAGAAGTGGCGCTACGGCTATTGGGCCAACTCTCCATCTATCAGGGGAATGTGGGGTTGGGCCACGGCCGGCCATTGCCGCTCGAAAGCGCTGGAGACGCTGTAGTACATATGCCAGGCCTGTAAGTGGCGCTGTAGTCTGCCACAAAAGCAGCGAAGAAGACTTCCCGCCTATAGTTACCATGGTTACCCTTCTGTTTATTCTCCGCTGTGGCTTTTTTTTCTCCCTCCCCGAGGCAAGCGTTTGCTCCCGCTGCTTTAATTCAATGCAATCCCTCCCCATCGAGGCAAGCACTGTAATTCTCTCCGGTTAGTCCACCAGCAGATGACAAACACCCACCTCTCCGCCTCTTCCAAGGAACGAGGGGACCGTGCGGCAGAGTTTCAGTTTCTTTCGCCGGTCAAGATGTCCGTTAAAGTTTAAATCTTCCGGACAAAATTAGAAAAGTGCCGGTCAAAGGTCTTCTTTGTTATTTATTGAGCTTTAAAACAAATGAATAACGACTCTATAGGCCTATAATAAAACCATAGACTGTGTGTATGTATATATATATATATATATATCACGGAGGACGGAGATTTTTTTTCTCCCCCTCTTGACTTGATCAGAGCACAGCTTCCCTCTCCTGCAGGGGGGCGTGGTCAGCTGCAGCTCACAGAGATGTGCCCCGTAGACGGCAAACAGCACATAGAGCGAAATGAGCCATGGCTAAAATGCATGATCTGTTAGGTATTTTGAAAACAGAAACGTATAAATATACCTTATATATGTATGGCCCTACAATATATCATTTAAATATAGCATGATAGGTCCACTTTAAATTCCTACATTTATAAATTCAATTAATGTTTGGCATTTGAAGTGTTGTCATAGTGTGGCTTTGTGTCCACATGGTGGCATCATTGCTCAACCATTTCTTAGTAGGTTTTGAATTGGAACCTTTTGTGTTCACAATAGCTTTCCTGGTGTAAAAAAGCTTTAAAAGGGTTGTATTTTTGAAAATGTATTTCAGTCAAAGGTAAAGTTCCATCATGTCCTTTCCTAAAATAATTAACATCTGCTGTGTGAGGGACGCTGGCTTCACTCATTACATACACCAACTCTGAAATGGAGCATTTACAACTTTGGGCAGTTATGCAAATCAAAACAATTAACCTTCAGCATTTTTCTCTTTTTGGTTTTGTAAACTGGAGTAAGCATTACTAAATATTTGGTCTAACACTAGGTCATAAGTGTTCAAACTACACATGTAGATGTTATATTGTAAAAGTAGCCTTCATACAACTAAAAATGACTTGACAGGTGAGATCCTTAATTATTCAAGTGAAATGTCAATGATAGAAGCAAAACCTTTTATCCTACAGGGTGTCCTTAACACCTGTGTATTGTTTATTTCAAATTATGGAACTAACCATAAAACATCTCTGGTCCAAGTCAGGCTGGGACACTGATGCATGTTCACCATCCCGTTACCGTCTGATTGACTTTCCTTGATGTGAAGATAAATATTTTGTCTTCTAAATAAGGGAAAGCATTGTTGTACATCTAATTATTGTGGGTCAAAGTAGATTAACAAATCAAAATAGTCAGACTCTTCCCTTGCATTCATTGGTTTGTTATCGAAATCAAACCGTATGATACATTACACAAAATTATGAAGAACCAAGAATCGGGGGATATTTTTATTTGAACTCTGAAAGGACTTTGCATTCTCAAGCTTGTGCAAAGTTGTTTGTATACTTTTGAATACAACTTGTATACCGCTTCGTGAATAAAGATTTGGGGGAAATAATTCATTTCTCGTTTTTTCCCCTTTCCTGTTAAGTCGGGGAAAATAACAATGGGGAATGTCTTATATTAAGAATACTTGAGGTGAGTGTTAAGGAATAATTCTTCTAGATATCTATCCTTTTACTCTGACATGTGTTATCTCTTTAAAGGAAAGGCCTTGGTGCCATATGTGTTATCTCTTTAAAGGAAAGGCCTTGGTGCCATATGTGTTGTCACCAGTGTGTGACCGGTCAACTTGTCTGGCACGTAGGGTAATTGTTGTGAGAACACTGAGGCACTTCTTTATCGGTGTTTGTGGGCTCTAGGATGTGAAATCCTTGAGGCCATGAGCGTCGGACGCAGATGATTCAGTGTTTAGTCTACTCCTTCAGAGATGTTGATTTCTCTCTGTGAACCTGTTAAAAGGTCTAGCATAGAGAGAGGTTCTTCAGAATTGACGTGGCAACTCTACCGTGGAGTCAGAACCTCTGACTCTTGGATTTGTGATGTGAATCCTCCGGCCGAATACTCTGAATAAACCCATCAGTGTTTGACATCAAAGCTCCAACTCTCACCGTGTCTCCTTCCTGAGTCGGTGACTCCATGCATTACTACACAGAAGTTTCCTCCACAAATTGGCGTTGTGGGCAGGATTCAACAGATCTTCAGAGACTGGTAAGTGTGATTTCAAATCTACATTTGGACATTGCCTTACAAGAATCTGTGATGAAGGATGTGAAGCATCCTGAATGTGGGGGGGGACATTTTTTTTTTTTTTTTTTTTTAACGGGCGGTGTGGGGGCGAAAAAAAAATATAGATTTCCTGTATTCTGGTGCATTTTAACAGGTGGTTTGATACTTTTATGTGGCTATACTAGCATGAGGAAAATGATGGGTACATTTTGTAATTTCATCCAGTAGTAAAGAAAGGAAACATATTTGATTATTAATTCAGAGCTGTCTTTGAATTAATAAAAAGCAGTTTAAATGCCCATTTTTTGTACATTTATATACAACAATAAATATTTGTGAGTGCATTGAGAGATATTGTTGTGGAGAGTCATTTATATATAAATCGCAAAATACATTTGTGAATCCTTCTGTGAGCATTTATTAATATTGAGACTGATCTGACTCCATACAGATGTTAAGTTCACCTAGGAATGGTATCATTGACTTAAATGTTCAAATAAATGTTGCTCTTCTGTCTATATTGGTCATATGATGCCCCTTGACTGAAATGTTTCCTGTTCAATATCCCCACTGATTTCCTTAAAATCCTGGGATGAGAGTCCACATCACAATTTACTCTCAACTGTCATTTCCCTTTCATCACTCACCTCAGCAATGGACCTCTCTCCACTGTCCCTGTATTCTGCCTCTGACTCACTCTCAAGTGCCTAGATGTCAAGAGAGGTGGTGAAGTGATAATTATTTATTGAGCAGTATACTCTTTCACATTGAATCATAACAAGTCATACTGAATGTAAATACAACTGACTCTAAAGTAAGTCCCAGTCTGTGACATTGGACATTTTGAAGACTCAAAGTCCCAAGC